CCTAAGACAACGATTTTTAATAATTAGTTACTCGTTAACTATTACGAAAATTGCAAAATGGTACAGGACTTTTTCGTTCATCTCGACCCGTTCTACCTTCTCAAAAATTTTGTCGGATATGGAAAGACTCACCCTGTATATTTACAAAAAGAGATCTTGTTACAATTGCTGGCGTGTTTAAAACGTTTAATGAATATCTCGTGTTTGAATAAATAAGACACTTTTACTTTACAACACGTAAATATGAAATGTATTGGGGCAAAAGAATTGTTACGTTAATAACGCAATTGTAATAGCCATTTAATGCCGTCTAATGCTCGTTTAAAAACATATTATTTTAGAATATTATTACAAATCCGGCCTGTGACTTCACTTTAGCTTAAAGTAAGATAATAATTTCAGTATCTTGTCGCCAATAATTATTAAAAATTCTAGAAGCAATGCATTTTTTTCGGATCTCGTTGCAAGCTTTTATTCCCCCCGAGATAATTAACGCGAGAACAAAATCGCACATGGAGCAATTGTAATTGCACGATGACGGCCTTGCTTTGCAAACGGCAATTTCGCGATGGCGGATAATAATTACGAGATAAGAGTCGGAAAGCCGATAACGGGGATAAACGCAAGGCGAGAGACGCGACACGTGCAACACGTCAGATTCCACATATCCGTCGCGAATCCTATCGCCGTAGCATGCGAATCCCTTAATCCGTGTCTACCGCATGTAATAATTGAACCGCGCAAATTGCGAGCAGGCACGTCTCGCTAAATTACCTGGCAAAGCGGCAGAAACATTTCCCCTATGGAGTCGTCCCTTGAGAATCGATCGTAGTCGAAGACGTGTAGATGTAATACCCTACTCTGCAGCTTCTGTATGGGGAAACCTGGAAAAGAGAATCGCGATGAATAATCCGCACGCCTCGTTACGCCACGAGTGTTTTATTTGCCGACCGAATTTCATCGCGCTTTGTGCCCACGATAAATGTTTGTGCAATTTGTGCAGGCGGTCCGTCTTTCGTCGTCAATAAGATGCTGATCGAGCCGAAGCGTATTTCGACGTGTAATTCCTCGCCCGCGAGGGGAAACTTAGATACGGGAAATTTACATGCGTTCCAATTTTTTTACTCCCGCAGATCTAATTTTAAGCAGAAGATTGCAGCCGGGTCGCTCTGTTATTTTCAGATTGTCACGGCCCGTCGCGGTTCCCTTAAACCGGCTTAACGCAATCAGATACGTCGTCTGTCTCTTACCCGCTGCACGAGACAAAATTGCCTCGCATTTCTTTCGCTCGCCCGCGTTTACCTCTGGGAGAGAGTGCGCTTTGTAACCGGCCAATGCGAGGAGCATCGCCAAACACGCGCGCTTACCTTCGAAATAGAACGTCTCGTTCCATCTCGGATTCAACGTGCGCCTTTTGATTTTTGTCTCGAGTCGGTGTTTCTTGTCCGGGAGCAGCGTCACACGTACGTACGGATCGGAAGTGCCTGACAAGTCCTTCGCCGGCAGGTCTTTACCCTGGAAGCAAATCGGATATCGATATGAGAGGCGACGGCGGAATTTTAAAGGAACAACGAACTTTATGCCGCTCCGTAAGCTTCCCGCGATTACGTGGAATATGCACCTTCGGGCACTTTCGCGGCAGATTCTCTCACGGGGAGTGAAGTTCGATGTAAATCTCTCTATACGTACAACTCTACACACACACACACACACAACGCCTGCATAATGTTGTAAACAAGGCTGGATTTTCCGCTCGATCGTGCCGTATGTATGACAGCGTTAAGTGGCCGAAATTTTTCGAGGATTACGAACGAGTAGACCAACGAGAAAAGAGACACGACAAAGTAGTGCCCTTAATCCTTTGCGGCCCAATGTAAGAAAAAATATTGGTTTATTAAAAAGGCAAACGTGCCCTCTAAAATTTTTCGAGTGAAAATACTGCCGTGAAGTAAAATATTCACTCTATTGGAGTAAATATTCACTCCAAAGGATCAATATTTCACTCCACGGCAGTATTTTTACTCCAAGAACTTTAGAGAGTGTATTAAATAAATCAATACCTTATCCATTACACAAAAGAACAAAGAACGAAGAAAATTATATTATAATTGCTGCATCCTATGTTTTTAAAAATAATGCCAATATTTAATTGTGATAACCTGACAATCGCAAAAAGTTCCAAATAACAACGAAAAATTCAAGGAACACGACACAGTGGTTTCAGCAAGAGGGTTAAGCAGATGGGGAAAGAGGACGGGGAAACTTGATGACACTCGAACCGCTTTAAGTGATACAACCTGCAACATTTTGAAATGTGAGGAAAGAACATTTTATTCCACACACGTATATGTGTCAGAATGAAAACGTGCGAATTCTATGAATGTCGCAGCCCGACTTTATTCATATTTATATGCATACGTAAATAGCTGTTGTTCCGTTCAAAATGTTACAAGACATGTGCATTCGTCACCGAAGACTCGACGCGGGATATACGTCTTCGTTTCTGTCGCATCTCACAAAGTCGCCTAATGTGGAGTAATGCGAGTCTCAGAGTCGTAGCCGTAAGAATAGTCGACTGCAATTGGTCAATTCAGTCGGACGCATTAGAATTGACCAATCATAGTCGACTACAATGCGAGTCTCAGAGTCGCAGTCGTGAAAGTAACCGATTGTAATTGGTCAATTCAGTCGGATACATAAAAATCAACCAATCATAACACAGGCCTACAAGATTTTCCCCACCGAGATCTAAGGGTGTTTCTCCATGTAATTTTTTGCGCTGAATCCAAATCTGGCCGCAGAATTTGTCTAGCACGTCAGGATTTTGAGATATTCTAATTTAAAAGTGCAAAAAAGGCCATTTTTTTGACATTTTCAGATGGAAATAAGTTTGAAACGCGATGATACTCGTTAATTTTAAAGTTAGAATTTGCATTTTCAACATGGCTGATCAAATATGGCGGCCCAAAAATTAAAAAATCGTTACAATTCTCTCAAAATCCTGACGTGCTAGACAAATTCTGCGGCCAGATTTGGATTCAGCGCTAAAAATTACATAGAGAAACACCCTTAAATCTCGGCGGGGATTCAAAAGTGTCATTTTTGTAGGCCCGTGTAATCGACTATTCCTTCGACTACGACTCTGAGACTTGCATTGTAGACCCCACGTAAGAGAATTCGGTGTGCGCGTGGCAGCCTCCGTGTGATACTACAACTAACGTGAGGCAGATTGTGAGCGTGTGAGCGGGCCTTTGTGTACGCAACGCAGTCGATACTGTTAATGGGAGACGGCAAACACGCGGACGGCAAACAAAATCAATAACGCCCTTAACGGCCTTGATAGTCGCCTGTGTTTTGAGAAATCAGTCCTGCCCGAAAGTATGCCCTCTTTCCAACTTCTCGGAGTGGCTCGCGTCCGGTTTGGAAAGTCGCTCGTGGCCTTGAAAGCGTTTACGCCGGAGGTGGACCGTCATTTTTCATTTGCCCGTCAGACCTTTTTTCGAAACTTATATACAACGTCATTATGCCGACTCGAACTTCTCGCCAAGAATGATCCCGTGCATTTAAGGTATCGCAAAACTTTATGAACAAACTTCGAGATTACACGGAGTTTCAAAAAAAGGGGGTGGGGGGGGGAAGATACGGAGTGCCCCGAGTTCTCGCGCAAACGTCTTTATGAAAGTATAATATTCTCTTTTTTTGATTTATGAACCATTAAAGATGAATTACACCCTGTCGATTAAACAGATCCTTAATCTTCATTTAATCCCAAGTTTGGTGTAATTAAAACGGGGAACTCTGATGCCTAAAATAAAATATTTGACGTTCGCATCGAAGAGAAAATCAAAAGGAGAGGTAGAGTTCTCGGTGAAATTGTCGCTGAGGTAAAGTCGGTTCCAAATTGACACAATTTCGAGCTATATACACTTGTACGTATCATTTCGTGACATGTGTGCACGAGGAGTATTTTTATACGTGAAATTTCTATCTTAGAGTTTACAAATTACAGGGATATTGAACGTGAATGGAATAAACGTGGTGTCTTTGGTAAACGCTTGGCTGGGCTTTTCCAAGTGTCGCGACAAATTTTCACGCCACGAGAGACACGACGAGAACTTGCGAAAATAGGAATTTTTAAGGGAGAGAGCGCGCTTCCGAGCTCTCATCGGGGTTACATTCCAGGCCGTTTATGACGCGCGTTAGCCGCGAAAAAACACATTTTGCCCGAAATTAACCGGATAGTCTGAAAAACTGTGGGACACCTCTCGTGGTCCTCGTGAAAATCATGTCGCGCGCGCGCGCGCGCGTCAAATTTTGCGAAGGATTAACGAGATAATGCGGGAAGCCGCGCTTTTAATAATTTCTTTTTCGGTTGTAACTCGAACGCACCGTTAAAAACAGGCATACAATAAAATACAAGGAGCAACGCGCCAACGCACTCTATTAAATAATTCAACAACGGAGCGATTAAATATTCGCCAAGGAAAAGAGGTCGGATGCAAATTGAGCGAGAAATAAAACTTTTACCGGCATGCTTCTTTGATAAACTGCGCGATAATGCTACGCGCAATTCCATTATAATTTTTTCCGCTAAAAGTGGCCGCACACAGTATCCTCGCGGCACCAAGAAATTGATATTACACTTTCATAATATTATAATAATGCAGTTTTACGTGTCGACGAGGTGAAAAATAATCGCATGTTAAAGCCTCGGACAGCGCGTTGTAACATTAAATTGTGTGTACGTATTACACATCGATATTAATGTATGATGCATGCACGTAGAGCTCGCTCTCCGACCACCGAGGTCTTGGCACGATAATTTTCGCCGCGGCAAACAAAGAAAACGGCGCCGCGAGTGTTTCGCTTAATGTCGGATTAAATCGCGCGAGAGGCGAACGCGGTCCAGCGTTTCGAAAGAATTTATGCGTTTGTTTACAACAAAAGTCCCCGTCCCGTTGAACGTTTCGCTTTTTCCCCGAGCTCGTCGAGCGACGAGTTTCCAAAGTGCCCCCTTTCCCGCCGCCCCCGCTGTAACAAGAAGTAATGTATGACGTCCCAGTTTACCAGGGATACGTATTTTCGCGTGCAGATACATTTTTCGGCAAACGTGCGCCCCGTCGACGATTTATGACGGTCCTTATCGACGTGGCCGTGATGCGAGGTCGAAAATCAAGCTAATTCGCTCACCTACATCTCGGCTTTACGTTCCCGTAGCTTGTGTCGGAGCACAACGTCGGCGACGAGAGAAATGCGCGTATTAATCTATTTACACAAGACAAGGAGAGTGGCGAAGGCGCCAAAACAGATAAAGAATCGATGAGGGAAGGCCAATGTGAGCCAATAAGCGCGGAACAGTGCACGGTTAAACATGCATAAGGGTAACACAGGATCGAGGGGGAAACCGCTGACCAAGCAATGCCCAGTGGGCATTGCTTTATCTTATTATATCTTATTTTATCTTTATAATGTCCCAGTAAGGCCAAATGCCCAAACTATTGCCCCAAAAATGCCTAGTAATGCCCAGTAATGCCGCAAATTTGTACACCACAATGCCCTCAGCGGTTCCCCCTCGCAGGATTCTACGCAAAACGGATCTGTTCGGGAAAGGCAGTGTAACCGTATTTCTAAATATTGTCCCATGCTTTCCAACCCACAATGATGTCGCTAATCGGCATGAATATACGACTGATTTTTCCCGCGACAGCAATTTTTTTAACTTGATTCATTGTTGTAGTAAGATGAAAAAGTTTTCGGCCAAGGAGATAAAAGAGGTGACAAAGTGACACGATTATTTTTCCTATAATCATTCTTTGTTTCAATAAATTTTTTTAGAGCGATAACCCGAGTTTTCTACGGCAGTAAAAAATTCTAAACATCAAAATGATTTGACACGTGAAAATCACTTCATTGTCGGTAAACTTTTTCCACGCAAATCGTACTTCAATTTAAAAAAATTATCTTTTATGTCTTAAGTTGAAATCCAATTTATCAGTGATGAAAAAAAATGGCACCCGGAACGCGGCACTATTTTAAGGACAGAAGTTCCAAATGTTTTTTTGATGGATATTTTTTGATGAATTAATTTTAGAGAAAAATTAATTCGTCACTTCGAAAAAATTACATTGAAATGCGGATAATGAAATTGAAAAATAAAAACAACTCTTTCATTTTACCACCGTTGTTTTTTTTCTATTTTTGGACCGGAAACTGTTACACCTCGCCACATACAAATATCGCACATCCTTGTACACTTTATGGAAAATTCGGCCGGTGTCACGCACAATGTATTATTATCCTGATATACGAACGTAGCGATATTCCAATCGCCTGCGATCGACGCGTGCGTCACGCGCAACACAAGCGATATATCGATGTAAACTGCTAGCAGGGGCATGCTTCAAAGAGCCAAGTTCTAGCGCATCCATGTACGAAACTCCGACTGACCTGTATGATGCGCAGAATGAGCGTGCTGTTCTGGAAGTCGTACTCAAGGCTGAAGTGGATCTGGCCAACATTCTCGCTCGGTTCCGAATTATCGATGTACATGTCGACCAAGGAGATGGACCTGCTCTGTAGAAATGCTTTCTGCAACACACAGATGCCAATGCGATCGTTACTATCGCTTCCCTCCTATTTCGTGAGAGATAACGTACCTCGGGATTCTTCCCAGAACACATTTCGCTGAGGAGAATGTGTACAATTGGAGGGAAAAGGAGAGAGAGAGAGAGAATTTGTACTAAAACGCAATTTTCTTAAAATCGTATTGCAAGAAAGAGATCTGGCACGGGAAGAATTAACTGTCGTTAAATTTCAGGTTCGTCTCCAACACGCGAGAATTCGCGGTATCTTTATCGGGATGCGACGTGTGTGATATTAATTTAATTATACTACAAGAGCGGGAATTTGTTGTAATTGCAGATCAGTTTCTACATTAAATAAAATTGCGTCGCGATTATACGTCATTACGATTAATCTCAATTTTACAACGCAACATCCGGACAGTTTCCAATTACGTGCAAAGTTCATAATAATCGCTCTTTGATGAGTGCTGTTCTAACTTTGATAAATAATAGCCCTTAATTTTCGACAATTTGTGTGATAAGGTCCAAAAGTTTCTGGCTCAAGGAATAGAAAAAAAAGGATGCTAAAATGAAACAATTAATTTGACTTTTCAATGTAATTACGCTTTATTTTAATACAGTTCTCGAACGACGAGTTAATTAATTCATTAATTGTTTCATCTTGTTACCTTTTTGTATTGTCAAATTGAAAACTCTTCAACCTCCATTATGTATAACCCGCATTAAAATTCGAGACATAATCTTATTTATAATTTCACCCGCCTCACGATGCAAAGTACATTTTTCTAAAAAAGAATCAGAAACACACGTGCATGCAAAGTGTACACAAAAATGTATAATCACACGTACGTTACACAGTGAGATACAGGGTGTATAAAGTTAGAAATAGGATTCCACCCCGCAATCTGAGACGGCAAATTAGATTGTACGAGAGGCGGGCTTGGCGGCGGTCTTTGAGATGATCTCGTTATCAAAATTGACGCGGGCACGACAGGTCGTCGCGCCAAAAATCAAGATGAGTTTTAGGGGACTCACCGAGGGGTGTTCTCCTTTGACATTCTGCAGCTGCTTGTTCTGCGGCCCGGTGGTTGGTGTACGGGGTTCCGCGCTCCCGGCATTGCTGGCGCCGCTTCCCGGTGCCGCTGTTGCTCCCGCCGCACCGCTCGCGGGCCCGCCGCTACCGCCTGCTGGAGATTTGCTAGAGGGACTACCGGTCGTCCTGGAAAGAGACAAAACGCGAAATTTACCACGTCACATTCGCCCACGCCCGAACCTTTGTCTTCTCTCCTCTTCTCGCCTCGCTCTTAGAGCGGCGTCATCGTGGAATCGTCTGGCGCAGCGTTCGAGACGATACCGGGACGAAACCTGACGACGTTTATTCGCTTTATTAGACTCCCAAGTCCAATTATCGCTTTCACCGCCACGGCTTGTAATTTTCAACGTAACGTACTTTTTGTTATTTTTTAATGTAATTACTAGAAAGAATAAGGTGTTTTATTTTTTCTTTTACGTCCGTCTTACATTATTTTTCGTTCGCGAAATTCCTCTTGAAACGTTGATGCAATTCTCTACGAACAGATATTTCGGCTTTCACACGCACAGCGTCGTTCTTCCTATTATACTGTACTATAATTTCATACCTCGAAATCTCTTTAGGTTGCTGTGTATTTTTTTTAATTTATCAAACACGTGCCAGTTAAGGCCGACCAAAATTTCTTTATTATACACTTCGAGAATGTATTAAATGTTCAATAAAATCGAATGTCCAATTGATTAGTTCAGAAACGCGGAAACTGCGCGATTGTTCGGCGATCTCGACCCACGTGAGCTGCGCGTTGATACAATTAAATTTGCCGCCTACAATTATTTCTGACAATCGCCCGGCGCGTTACATTTTACACGGCGCTAAATCGGCGTGACGGTCTAACGAGATAAATATTGCCCGCGGCCGTGTCAAAGATAACGGCTTAGAGGCGCCCGATTGATTCGGAACTTGCTGACAGTCAAGGGGTCCTGCTCGCCCCATGTGATGCATGCACAGGCTTATCAACAGTTGCATACATCCCAGATGCGATACGTTTCTATAACGTACGTTAGGCATAATAGGCGACCTAGGATCTAGATAAATCTTATCGCACCGACTACTGTATCGCGTCTACTGCGAGCACACTATGCTGCTAATCGAGACAGCGTTCTCTCGCAGGCACGCAAGCCGATACGCTTCCAGCATGTCGTCGGCTTATTAATAGTTGCTGTTTACTACCAGTCGCGACTGCGGAGCGTCCAGGACTGTGCAGAGCGGCTGAAGCCCACGGCAGGAGTAAAATGAATTTACGGCACGTACACATATACATTATATATCATATATATGTACATATATGTGTGTATATGTATATATGTGTATATAAAAGGGTAAAAAATTGATGCAGGCTGAAAACGCTCCGTGCAGAGAAACGCTAATGGTTTCATCTGCTCTACGGAGTAAAAAGAAATAATTGCAAGTCCTACAAAAACGAAAAAGAAAGTGACTACGTCATCCAGTAGCGTCGTTGTGTTCTCGTTAGGTATTATCAAGGTATACAGATCGTATGCGTGTTCAAGCTCCATGAATGTACAGTATAAATCACGCAAGACATTGAAGAATGACTACACCTGTCTATAAATTGATATCGTGTATCAAACTGCAACGAAACGAGTAAATACTATTCTGCTAATCAGCCGAAGGTATAACGAACGCGTTGTACCTTCGTTAATGTTGTACCAATTAAATTTGCAGCATTCCCATGCCTTTTTATATAAGCCCCAATTTGCAGGTACGCATTTCAATAATCTGTTACATCGTTTGAAACACCGATACCCACGTTGTCCGTACGAAATGCTGCCAAAGTGCAGTCCCGTATTCCCGAGTCGAGTACCTGGTCCCGGGATGGGCCTCGATTATTCGATTCACCTCGGAGTCGGTCGGAAACTCCAATTTGAGGCCCAGACGAGTAAAAAAACAATTGTGTCTAACCTGATTTTAACCCTCAACGAGAATGTAATAAAATATTGCACCCTCGTTGAAACCTCTTGGGCCGAAGAGGATCCACTGAACCTCTGTCGACTACACTCGCATTGGCCTCTTTACTGCTAAAAGGGAAACAGCGACACTTTTCCGGCCCATCTGAGGTCAAATATTCAATGTACTTCCTCCATACACGTGTAATATATAGACTGCGCGTTTGGCTGAAGAAGCGTACAAGCTTTAGAAAGAGACAACATACTTTGAGTGGTCGCCCTCTCTCTGTCGCCCTCTATCATTCCCCTTAGGCCGGATTCAGACTGAACGCGATGAGCGACGAGCGATTATCCAATGGGCGAACAGGTTACATGGGAAAGCGTATAGTTTTCCTATAAAGACTGTACGCCCATTGGATATCGCTCGTCGCTCATCGCTCATCGCGTTCAGTCTGAATCCAGCCTTACTCTTTTGCGAGAGGAAAACCGCTGAGCACAATCTTGTACGCCAATGCCCACTGGTGCCCAGTGGGCGTTACTTTATCGTATTATCTCATTTTATCTTATTTTACCTTTGTAATGCCTCAGCAAGGCCTAATGCCCAAACTAACGCCCCAAAAAATGCCCCGTAATGCCCAGTAATGCCGCAAATCTGTACACCACAATGCCCTTAGCGGTTTCCCCCTCGCTCTTTTGTTACGCCCACTATTTATCAGACAAAGATGCGGCGACCACTCAACCGTCAGCTGTCTTGTTCTAAAGTTTGTACATGTTCTCAACGCGGGAGAGGTAGGAAACGCGCAGTCTACACTTACTACGTCCATGATTTTCCCCGACACAAAGACCCTGGTTAGACCTCGTTGCTCCGAATTCAAAAATTGCACGAGGCTAAACTGAGGCCAAAATATATGTATTCGACTCGGGATCTCGCAGAGATTAATCTGGACTGTACGCTGAACCGTGACATCTATCTCTCGCCCTCGTAGATATATACACGGAAAGGGAGAAATGCGCACATTCGCATAAATTCCCTTTATCCGATTAAAGGGAGCTCCCGTGCACAGCGGGTATATTTTACCGGATCGACGAGCTCCCTTATTTACCGCGATTCACTATTCATAACTCATAAATAAGAATGAGGAAAAAATCCGCGCTCACGCGCAGCGAGCGCCCCGTACAGAAAGGTGCACCGCGAGATACCCGCGCGCGGCGACAGCCGGCATAAATTTAGATGCCCGTTTCGTCGCCGTGGCGTATCGAAGCGATTGATTGCAAAAAAAGCTTGTCCTTCGCGAACGACACGTCCCACATTTGGAAACAAGACAGACTTCGCTACAGTTGCGAAATAGGAGTCGCGCGCAATCGCTCGGAAGGTACGTTTGGACGAAAATTTTGCTCCCATTGACAAAATACACGTTCACTCGCTCTACATCGCTGCTTATAATTGGGTGTTAACCAAACAGATTTTCGACGAAACTTGATTCCGTAAGATTCCACGTATTTCGTGCCCTCGAGAAATTGAATAATAGAGAGAATATATCGAAGAATCGGAAAATTAAAAGATATCGAATCGCAATTTTCATTAGACAAAACTTAACTTTTCTCGTCTCGTTTTGTACGTTCAATCAAAGCGTATATGTACACTCACGAAATTGTCTCGTACGATAGTTAAATCAAAGCATAAGTTACAGTGAAATTTATGGTACCAATTGTTATTTTGAATTTAACGGAGTTTCGGAATGTCGAAGGGTCGAGAAGACGCATAACCGCCCCCTCGACATTTTCCTAAAGTGGTTTCAAAATGGCTAAAAGAGTCCACCGTGTAAAATACGCAGCAGAAATGGGAGAACGCTGTAAATGCGAAAGTTAACGTATACCTCGAGTGTTCTCGCATCTTAAAATGCGACTCTCCGCGACGAAATTCCGCTATTTTATCGCTAATTGCAAATTCCGATTTGTCACTAATTGCTCAATATTGTTGGCGACATTACAGCCAATTCTCTTCAGTAACTACGTCACGGGCGATAATTACCGTAAGACACCGCTCGCTTTATTAATATAACCCCCGGGCAAACTTGGGCGCACGGATTCACCCTGATACCGCTTCCGCAAACCGCTTTGGACGCTTGTGCCGGCGCACGAGAGGGTTTTGGACCTGTAATTCGAGTTAACACGCGGCATTCAAGCGCATTTGCAAAAGGTTAAGGGCGCACAATAGGTAAATCGTGCCGAGCGATAACGGAAACGTCGGCGGCACGTTGTTTTCAGCCGTGGCTCGACAACGCGTAACTAGAAACCGTGCGGGATTCAACGGGCCCCGGGCGGATGCGCAGCTGGAGATGCTCATTATATTCAACCCGATGAATGGGCGACCGCGCGCGCTCGCGGAACCAAGTTTTATGAGAATAGTGTGGCAGAAGTTTCGCCGTGTACCCGTATTTATCAGCTCCCGGCGCGTGTAAATAGCATAATGCGCGAACTCTCGCGTTCAAAAACTCCGGGTCCAAGTGCGGATAACGCGTAATGAGCAAGTCGCGTCGGCGGATATCAAATTTGGCCCTCCTCGTCGTAATCGCGGGCTCCCGTGCAAGAGGGATGTAAATAAAAAGAAAACTCCATCGTGAGGAAAATGACTTTTTAACGGTAACTGCCGAATTACGAGTACAAAAGTTGCGCTACGAAAATTCGTTTTGGTTCCTTCTGTTCTCAAGTTTCCACGAACTTGCGTAATGAATAAAAATATTTATCCGAATTTTAATATTTATGCTTTTCATTATTCGCTTTTGTTTCAATTTTACATTATTTCGAAAAGCGTACAAAAACACTTTGTTTAACGATACATCCATATTGTATAAGGGCCCTCAATTAATTTCGATCGTAATTAATTTCCCCGGATATTATCCACACACACACACACACACACAAATAGAAATACTTGAACCCGAAATAAAAATACGGGATTATTACGCGCGAACTTTTTCCGAGATTGTTCCATTAAATTTTCACTTCGAGATTTCATATCGCAAGGCGAGATTTTACATATCGATCTCGTACCGGTAGCGATTAATCCTATTTCGCGAACATGCACCGTCTTCCATTTTTTTTTTGTTTCAACCGTTGAAGCACGTCGATCGAATGATGTTGACCCACAACTATTAAAAGATATCGAAAAATTGTGTATCCGTGTAATGGTAACACGGCGAACGTTGGTATTGTAAATGCTGTTAGTCGCTGGTCGTATAAACAAGATATGTCCGATAGCAGGCGTGTATTTACGTATGTATCGTGGTGTGTATTTATGCAGGCGAACAATAACAGTGCGGTCCGAGAATAAAGAATAAGGTAATCCAGTAACGATCCTCGTACCGATCGAACTGGACGCCCTCGAGCATAGAAAGCGCTATCACTACTAATAGACTGTGAGAAACGCTTGACAGTACGATAGCAGACAGGCAGAGAAGATAGTAGTTTCGAAAAGTAGAGAGTGTGGAGTTTGCCGTCAACACAAACGCCGACTACAGACAGAACAAACAGCGGCCGCGTAGTAGTCATCGATGCTCATCGACGGGCAAGACGAGGAAGCTGAACGAGCTTCTTCGGCCAAGTGGAACTACTTACGCAGTTAAAGTAGCGCCGATCGGGGTGGACAGTGTAATCCGTTAGAGAAGAGAAATCGGAAGAGAAGATAGGAAGAGAAGAAGTTAAATGAAGCGCAGCATAGAACAATGAATCGTTCGTTAAGAGTGTCGCTTTTTAACTCGCACAAGTCGTTCATACTTACTCTAATTGCGCTCTGCGGTTCCGATCGTTACAGTGAAACGGGGCATGAAACAGAAAAAGATCAGTGATTAATTAATTAACTGGGCACACACGTACACACAGGCACACGTCGCACGACGAATCAACGATTAGAGTTCGTGGCATCGGACAGGGATAAAAGGAGCATCGCACCAACTCGGAGAGACAACACACAACATTAAACGTCGCTCAAAAAACACATCGCTTACAATCTGAAATTAGGAACGAAGAGAATCGCACAGAAGACGGTAAAAATACGTGCACCGACGTGGAATCCGATATTGTAAGTCTCGACGGCTTACAGACACTGCGATACTGAGAAATGTCGTCGAGCAAACGCTGCAGCAAATTGTAGTTAACGAAGCGATAATATCTTCCAGCGCCAGCTAACCTGGGCACAAAGAAGTTTCAATATCCGGAATGTCTCTGTGTGCGTGTGTATGTGTGTGGCTCGGAGTTAATTGCCATCTCACTCGTTAAAACGGAAATTCAGCAGAAAGAAAAGGACTCGTAATAATTTCATTAACATTGGATATACACAGCTGTATCTTTATTACTGCGCGACGTAAAATTATTCCTAGCGCCGCCACCTAGGACTGTCAGTGGGTAATTTGTAAATAATAAAGTCGACCATCGATAATAATTACATCAATTATCGCAGAATCCATTTTCATTATTCTGAACCTTTCAGCTTATAGGGATCGTACATAAAGTTCGAGAGCAAACTTCTACGAGCGTGTATATAACTTCGCGCGTCACGCGCGAACGTCAATCAGAAATTATCCAATTTGTAAGTAGCGGGCAATCTAATGGCAATCGGAATGAGATGTCTCGCATTGATGTCGTATTCATTTTATGTGAAATTATCACCCTTTTAGAAACGGAGCGGCGTATCACGTGGAGAATATTAATGAGTTATCAACCGCAGTTGTTATTATGGCTAGTGACAATATTATTAACTTGAGATTTATTTCAACCCCTTGAAAATTACGTAGAAATCTGTGACATTATACAATGATTACGAGTGACCTGAACACGTTGAAAACTTGCTATAATTTTCGAACCAAAGGAAATGTATATTGTCCCTTTTTCATATTGCGCGTCCGTGCATCGATTATGTCAGACGATTAACTCGTTTCTTAAGGTATATCCTTTACGACCACGTAACCGCGGGACGCCTATCGATATTCAATAGCCACATTTGACTTCGCATTGTTGCGGAATTACGTACGAATGTGTATGTGCGCGTACGTTTGTTAGGAATTCAGTAACTCTGAAACGAAAATAGATACATGGACCGATAAATGGACAACATATACTATTGGATACAATATGCGATCTCGCGGACGATACCATGCAAGTTTTGATATTAAATCAGCCGTACAGCAGCGTTTCGCTCGGGTTTCGCGTTACATACGTTACCATATTAAAGATAGAGGTGCGCGCATACGCGAGGGAATCGATATGCGTATATGTGCTTAATATAATTTTATTCATTTTAACTGAAAACTTTCGGGATTAAGTAGTTTTTATCCGAACGTTTTATCGACGCCCCACGGTCAGTTCGGTGTCTTCAAGTTTTAGATGCATATAGAAGGATTTAGAAAATCCGCGGGATAAATGGACTTGATGTATTTTGCGATTTGAATCGCAACCTAATCAGTCCCTTCGCGCACATTCGCACATTGCACGTTAAAACTTGTTACGAGAAAATAACGCTATACATATATTG